GGCAAAGAGAGGTCATTGGTTAACAGAGAGGAATTCCATCCTGCCAGCCACAACATCCGTGAGCTGGGAAGCAGATCCTCTTTCAGTTGAACCCTCAAGGGGAAACCAGAGCCATGGGAAGCCTTAGGCAGAGGTACTGACAAAACTATGTCCAGAAACTGAGATAATAAATGCTTCTTGTTATAAGCCAAGAAGTTTGGGGGTGATTTTTAATACAAGATATTGTACATGCCATGGTTCTCAGCAACATGACTAAACCAGGAAGGATATAACTCAAGGACTCAACTGTAGCAATGTCCAGACAAGTTGGCTCAATGGAAGCAATCCATTTTAGCAGGATTTAACTATAGTATTAGGAAAGAGAAATAATTCCCTTGTTATTATTGAAAGTGAAATTATGAGTTATCATGATACAATGTTGTGAAAAGTGTATTTAGGAAAAGTTCAATTATTAACAAATTTGAGGCTGGGAGTGGATGATGAGTATTGTTTTGAAATGTCTGAAGGAAGCCAGGAGTGAGCATCTTAGCAGGGGAGATCACGCCATTTGGGAATCTGAACACAGAAGCAGGGAGTAGCTTATATGGAGCTGGCTATATCATATATCAGAGGAAATTCTTTTAAAAAGTTAGTATGAGTTGAACTGATTGTATAAAAAGTTGTTTCTTTCTAAAAACTTTTTTTTTTCAAGTTTTTCAGAGATGCTGCCTTTTTCTACCTTACTAGAATTAGGTAAAATATGTTTTGGTGATTATTTTTTAACCTTTTGTCAAACTTTCCTCTTTCTTGAATATTGAGCCCTACTTTTTCAATTTCTTTAGTCTTTCCCCTCTGTTAATTTATATGCAGTCTCCATGTGAATTCTTTGGATTCTTTCCTTTTTTCTCATTTCCCTGACTCCTCCTTGTCCACATCCTTATTACCTCTTTCCTGGATTACTGCATAACTTCTCAGCAGGGCTTTCTCAGCACAGCAGCTGCCAGCAAGGTTTCTGAGCTGAACTGTAACAGCAATTTACACAAGAAATTATAGCTCTTACTTTTATTATCATCTAGCAAAACTGCAGCAGAGAGATAAAAAGTGTCTAACCAGGCAGATGAGAATGGAATTACCTGGGTGGAAGCAAGAAGCTACTAAAAGATAAAGAAATATGGATACTCAGAATCAGTATGACCAGCAATACAGTCTGGTAGGTCAGGATATTTACCAGGATGATTTATGGCTTAAAGAGGTAGCAGATTTGGTGAGCAATTACACTGAAGCCAAACAGCCCCAAAGATCCAGAAGGCCAAATTAAAATTATCAAGCATAAGACACCAAGTAAGCTGAGCTGTTTATGCACACTGTTTGTATTTATAATAAATAAACTGCAATATTGTTCCTCCCAGACTTCCACCCTAGGGGCAGAGTGTGGATGAAATGAATGTGACAGTTTAAACATAAACATTCTGATTTACAAGACTCAAAAATATGTTGGTTTATTTCTATGGTGCATCAACTGCCTGAGTCGTCCTAGTTGGGATGTAATTCCCCCACCTGGATGTGAGAGTCACTTGGGGTTTCTCCCAAGACCACCTTTCTTATAACCTTCTTGGTAGGAGCCCAGAGAACTGGTATTACTTTGGTAATTAATTTGGCAGGATCTTGGCAACTGATTAAAGGGATGTAGACAACAAGGAAGATCCTCCTAATTTAGTGCAAAATTCCTAGTATGAGCCAGAAAATCAATAACTCATATTTTAGTGGCACTCCTGTCCTTCTCCATGTACCCAGAAACTGCTTCAGATTGAGAAACTGATGTGACTCCATTTTTGAAAAACCAGCTTGTACCTCAGAGCAGGGCCTGTCCAAGGGGGTTGGGGTGTGTGTGTGTGACACTTGTCCTTTGAAAACCCATTCCTAGGCATATACCCACCCTGCTGAGTTGTTTAACAGGAGAAATCTGAAGTGCCAGGTGTCCCTAACTCAGTTATGCTAGGTGAGGACCCATAGCAACCCCCTAGCAACCACCAATCAGCATGAGACAGGGAAAATATCTGAAATGCCAGGTCACCCTCCCAGTAGTTTCAGTGATTAAAAACATGATTAGGTCACCCTGCAGTTTAGCATATATACTCTTGCAATCCCTCATGGCCAAAACCAATCAGTTCAAATGTATCCACCACTTGAACTCACCAATCACCCTTACCCAACTTGTTCCCGCCAGTGAATGTGCTAATCAATGTTAAGAGTTGTTGTTTGATTTTCCCGAGGTATGAAATGATTTGCTGTGTGATGTTGTGACTCATAGAGTATCCCCCCAAAACCTATAAATTCTCACTGAACTAAGGGTCAGGACTCACTCCTCGGGACCACTGCATCAGAAACGGTTGTGAGTCCAGGCTCGAGCTCGCAATAAAGACTCTTGTGTGATTGCATCGGATTTGGCTCCTGGAGGTCTATTGGGGACCCACAAATCTGGCATTACAAGATCACAGCACACAAACCTTCCTATGAACCTGCCCCTGTCCTCTTCTGGCTCTTTTGTATGTAGGCTAGAATTTGCAGCTGATCTTCTGGCCTATAGTAGATCCCATCCTGTGTAGCAAGAGAAAATGGAGGACCTGAAAATATAACCCAGAGTAACTTCTTCCTACAGATAGCCCTGCAGAAACCTGAAGAAAGCTTTGTTTGTTTGTTTGTTTTTGCAAAGGATCTTCATACCTGTGAACATGTCACCTGACTATGGGTGGGAATTATCAGAGTGGGGAAACCAGAGGGAACCAATGCTCAACTGTCCTGCAGCTCTACCTTACCTTGTCTACTCTCATAGCTTCCTTACACAATAGGTACTCTTAGGAGAAAAAAAAATCAATGAAAAATTACATAAAATGGTCACACACACACACACACACACATATACAATGTTAATAAAACAAAGAGAAAACTTGCCCAGACACCAACTACCAATGAATTAACTGTTGTGATTTTTCCATTTGCCTTTCTGATCTTGTCTATGTGCAATTTTTAAAAGAGAACAGATATAATCTGTAAAATCTGTGAATCTGAGGATTTCCCTCACTAATCATCCATCCTAAATTGAATTGATATCATCCACCACACTGAAAAAGATAAGACCTAAATTCTGGAAATTTGTAAAAACAGTATTCATTTTCATTAAATAGTTTTGTGTCATTTATATCATTTCTCACTTGTTTGGTTCAATAAGGAATACTGGGAGAACTTGGAGGTGGCAGAATATAAGGTAGGAGGTGAAGAATATGTTAAATCTTCCTCTCCAATCCTATCATAGGTCTTTGGGAGCTCTCCTGGATATATGGAGCCAGAAGTAGAGGAAAACACCAAAATATGAATTAATTGTCATAGTTATTGCAGCAACTCGGCCATCCCCTGCCATGATTTCTCTGCTGTACATTTATGGCTTCCATTGACTGTTGGTCCCATGTTTTTCCCTAGCCAATAATCTCTTTTACCAAGAAAATAGATGCCATGAGATATAAGCTTTTCTATCTCTCAATTCCTCTTTTGAGGCTTACCCCTAGTAATACCCAAAGTTTGCCATTTTATCTAATGCAGAGAGATAGGAGCCCCTTCTCTCATTCTGGGGACAAAGCTCCTTCTCCTTAGCCATCCTCTGGGAAATCTGCTTTGCTTATCAGCCTCCATGTGAAAAGAAGATTTTTCTGTAGTCAGAGTTTTTCTCTCACCCCCTGAATTTTTCTCCTCCATTCCTAAATAAAAGACCTTCTGTCATCAAAACATTTCTGATCTGGCTGGGGATGTGGCTCAAGCGGTAAGGTGCTCACCTGGCATGTGCAGGGCACTGGGTTCGATCCTCGGCACCACATAAAAATAAAGATGTTGTGTCCACCGAAAACTGAAAAATAAATATTAAAAAATTCTCTCTCTCTCTCTTAAAAAAAATCTACAAAACAAAACAAAACATTTCTGACCATAAACTCTTAAACCATCTTAAACCATTGTCCACACTTATCACCTTCTTATTCCTTTTTTCTCTTTAAAGCATTGTGTTTGGCTTCTACCATTAATTGCAGTTTAGAAGACCATCAGGATAGTGGGATGTTGATAAGGGGATGCCATTTTTTTCAGTCTTTGAGATGCATCTCATGGGATGATTCTTTACTGGGAAAGTTACGATAACCTAGGGTTTGATACTCTGGATTTTTCTAGGGTTGATCGAACCCTAGAAGATTTAATACTAATCAAACTTATAAGTGACTGATGTATAAGGTAAAATATTAATCTATTAGGTTACAATGATAAATATTATTGTCATGTAAATCAGAATATTTATGTACGTATTATGTGACTAATGCATTCTTTCTTAGTAGAAATTAAATATAAGTGCTATTGGAAAGCTGGGAAATTCAAGCCAGGGAATTTAATTGTATGCTTGTATGGCTAATGGCCTCAAGTTTTAAAAGCCAGACACATCTATTTTTATAATACAATATTCTGAAGGACCAGACTTCATTTGCTTATAGTTCAGAGTACTTAGGATAAAGCAAGATACTTGTTGTCAACTTTTATGTTTTAGTCTGACTCTGCAATTCATAAAGTTCATTCTATTCTTTTTCCTTTGGACATGTTGCTATCTTTAGTTAACCTTCTCTTCTTCACATTAACGTAACAGCTAACACTTACTGGACAAATTTTATATGCTGGGCATTTTTTTCCAACATTTATCATCTATAGTCCTTACTTTGAGCCAAGAGTTGTTAGTATGTCTATTTTGTAGATGAGACTTTGCAAGACTTATTATTTTGCTCAAGACCACAGAGCTAGTAAGTAGCAGAGCTAGGACTTAAACTCAGATTCCAATGACATCAAAGCTGATCTTCTTAAGCATTGTCCTGTCTTTGACCTAGTATATCTGTGGATAGACTCTGGCTTGAGTTCTCAGGTAATGATTTTCTATCTCTGCTTCAAATAAGATTGATTCATGAAGATTGAAAAATACATATTTCTTTTCCCTTTAGGCCCCGGTGAAACAGAATTCCAAAGGGTGAGTCTTCCATCTGTGATTTATTTTAAAGTTTCGTAAGTATTTTCACTTACATCAAAGAGTTACAACCTATGTTCAGAAGACTTACATCTAATTTTCTATTGCATTATCAATGGGATGTTTGTCTGCCATGTTTGAATTTAACATGACAAAACTGAGTATTTAATCTTCCTGCAAAATCTGCTTTATTAGTATGCTCAGCAATAAAAATACACAGGAAGAAAATCTCAGGTGGAAAGGTTTACTGTTGAGTAAATGAATTCAAGTCAGATGATCTTATTAAACAGACTTAATGTTTCTAGTGCCACCTTCCACCCGGTCTCCAGTGATAGAAACATCAGAATCATCCTGTAGCTCCCTCATCTATCAGGCAGAAGTACAGACTGTACTGCTGCCTTCCCTCTTACCTATGTACTTAGTGTGTGCACCAGTCCCTCCCTCCACCCTGTACACTGTCACTAGTTATATTGCCAATAGATACATCTGATCATGCCACCTCCTGCTTAAAAACCTTTCTAACCCTGTTATCTCCAGAAGGAACTATGCTCTCAACATTGTCTCCTACAACTTCGAGAACATGAAACAGTGCCTCTGCATAGCCTTAACTTCCACCACTGCTCATCGCCATCTGAGCTCTGGTAGATGACCTGGTTCAAAACTTACCTAGACTTTCCCTGCTGTGTACTGTCACTGTCCATGTGTGAAATGTCCTTCCATTGGTCTTCACTGAGGGGCAATGCAATGCTTCCCAAGCCTTGCTGACTGTGAAAATCACTGGGGGGTGGGGGTGAGGGGTTGCTTTAACACACATATGCATATATTCTCTCCCCCACCCCCAACCCTTGGAGGTTTGAATAGAATATTCTTTCTTTTAATTTTTTTAAATTAAATTAAATTTGCTTCCAAGAAAAATCTACCATCATTCAGTTTTTAGAAAGTGCTATTTTATTGGAAGTCACATGACATTAGAATCATTTGGTCTAAGATTTGAATCTCATCCCAGCTACTTAATTCAGTCATATCTTAGCTATAGGGTATCTGGCAAATAATTTCACCTTTCTGAGTCTCCACTTTTCAGGTGGTAGATGAGGATAGAAAACATTCATTTTATAATGCTGGTATAATTGCTAGAAATGAAATATATAGACTATCTTAAATATGTTAGCTACTTCACAAACCATAGGTATCCTTATTGTTATCATTGGTAAGTGTCACCTGAAAAACCAGCCTCTACCTCAGAGCAAAGCCTGTCCAAGGAAGGGGGCATGACCCTTGTCCTTGGAAAGACCCACAGAGCACTCCTAGGCACATACCCACCCTTCTGAGTTGTTTATCTACAAATAACAGGAGAGATCTGCTGTGCCAGGTGTCCCTGACTCAGTCAGGCTAGGTGGGGACCCATAGCAACCCCCTAGCAGCCACCAATTAGCATGAGACACCTGGGATGCCAGATAACCCTCCCAGTAGTTTATGGTGGTTGATAACTTTTTGGGAAACCCTGTAGTTCAGCAGGAACACCCCTCATGGCTTAAACCAATCAGTTCAAAGGAATCCCCCTCTTTTACTAGCCAATCACCCTTACCCAACTTGTTCCCACCAGTGAATGTGCTAATCCTGTTTTAGAGTTGTTTTATGATTTTCCCGTGGTGTGTGATGATTTGCTAAGGGATGCTATGATGTTTGTGGGGGTCCCTGCCTTCTCCAAAGAATGTATAAAACTGCTGCAAACCCTGGGCTCGGGGCCTCTCAGCATCACCAGTTGCTGTGTGCAAGTGGAGGACCGAGCTAGCTCGCGATAAACACCTCTTTGCTACTTACATTGATCTTGGTCTCTGGTGGTCTTTTGGGGGTCCCAAATTCGAGCATAACACACCTGCTCCACAAAACTTTCCCTTGACTTTCTCAGACATCTGGTTATTCTCTCCCCTAAAGCAAAATTTTGCCTTTTGTTTTAGAATAGGTAGTATATATGTAGATTTAAAACTGTAGTAGAAAAACAAAGAAACATTATTTTGTTCCTCTAAATCCAATTCAGTTTTTTTCTGAACTCTAGTATGGATGGGGTGTTCAAGATATTATTCAGTATATTGATATTATTATTAGGCTGTTGTCAAGTCAAATAATATAGAGAAGTATGAATTTAAAAGATAACATTTTATAATTTTTAATAGTCTGTCCTTGTTTTATGTAGGAGGATTGTGAGTTTCTAACTGATTTATGAGGAATTTGTATTAAAGTTGAACATAATATCTAAAGTATAAAACTTCTTCAAGTTTCCTTCCTGAAGTTAGCACACCTGCACACCTAAGATATTATTCAGTATATTGCTTCCTTCCCTAGGCTTAGGGAGTCCACACAGCCCTGGAAGGAACCTCTCATCCTAAGGCCACTGTGGTCATTGTTATAGTCCACATGATCCCTTTAAGGCAGATAGCTTCATGACTTCTGTGCCAAATTTATACCTAGAGATTGGAATAGTGTCCAACCATCCAGAAAATTACTAAATGGGCCACTCCCATCCAAGGTCCATTGCTCTCCGAGGCATGGCAGTGAGAGTTTCTATTAACCCAGAGCCCTGTCCTCTGAGCCACTAGAGAAATTCTAAAGCCCACCCCTGCCTTTGCTTCTCTTCTCCAAGAGATTGTCATCTTCTACTTTCTTGGAGATATCCTTTCTCCCTGGACAATTCAGAATTCTGGTTCCATCTTGCATAGAAATGACTTCTAGGTACCTGGCAAACTTAACACTTCTGGCTCTCAGAAACTTTTAACACATACCCTGAGGCAAATTAACTCTGATTACTTTTTGCAGAAGATACAAGAGAAAAGTAATTACATTGATGAGAGTGATAAATAATTTAGTACTTGTATCACTTTTCTATCAGTTTTGTGTTAATTACTTTGTATTCCAAGTCTTCACCTCTTTTAACTGTACAATGAATCCGATTAATTAGCATTAGTTTTGGGGTTTATGCATTTCATATATCCAGACTAGCCTTGATCTCTGTACCTATGGGATATTTAATAAATGATAGTTGAGACAATGGATAAGGCAACAAATAAGTAAGTCTCTAATGCATGAATTACTTGGCTCTACAAATTAGTTCTTTATAACCTTTTGAAAATACATTGCTTTATTGCACTTTACAAAAGTAACTTAGGCTGTTGTCAAGTCAAATAATATAGAGAAGTATGAATTTAAAAGATAACATTTTATAATTTTTAATAGTCTGTCCTTGTTTTATGTAGGAGGATTGTGAGTTTCTAACTGATTTATGAGGAATTTGTATTAAAGTTGAACATAATATCTAAAGTATAAAACTTCTTCAAGTTTCCTTCCTGAAGTTAGCACACCTACAGGAATTTATAGAGCATGAAAGAACCTGATGGTAAAAATCTGTAGTTCTGTACCTGCACAGTTCTTTTCAGTGCCTGGCCTGGGAGAAGTATTGGAGAATACACAGCTAACAAATAGTTCACATTTTTAGAAATGATAATTAATTAGAGATCTAATCAGGGGTCTTCAGCTCCAGTCATGGGACCAAACCTGTTTTTGTACATAAAGTCTTAGGGAAACACAGCCACTCCCACTCATTTACATTTTGCCTGCTACTACAATGTCACAGTTGAGTTGTTTGGACAGAGACATAGGTGACCAGCATAGGTGACTTGCTTTTGGCCCTTGGCAGAGAAAGTTTGCTGACCCTTCTAATTCACTGTTCCCATTTGCTTGCTATGGACTCTTACAAGCCCCTGAATTTATTAAAAACACCCATGAATCTGTGTATTTAATAAATTTGACTATGGTGAGAATGTATCTGACTCAAAGATGAATTTTCAAATGTATGTTGTAATAAAATGCAAATTAATTTCAATGTAGTTTTTTTTTTTTTTGTACTAGGAATTGAACCCAGGGGCACTTAACCACTGAGCCACATTCCATGCCCTTTTTAAAATATTTTATTTAGATACAGGGTCTTGTATGAGTTTCTTAGGGTCTCGATAAGTTGCTGAGGCTGGCTTTGAACTCATGATCCTTCTGCCTCAGCCTCCAGAGCCACTGGCATTACAGGCATGTGCCATTATGCCCAGCCTATAGTAGCTATTTATCTTTGTATGTGTGTGCTTTAAATTAGGAGATATCAAAAAATACAATTTGTATTGTGGAGTTCCTTGGATTTGTTTTTGTGTTAAGGATTTAATTTTTGAAAAATGATTGGGAAACATTGGTCCGGTTAACTCTATAAACCAAGAAGACTGCCTTAAAAACACAAAAATCATAATCAATTAAAAATGTGAGATTAATTATACCATATATGTGTTCACTGATGCCAAGACCAAATTCTATTTTGTAATAAATATGGTGGGTAAAAAATAATAGCTTGAGTCTAAGATGAAATAATAGCAACCATTTCCTGAACACTGAGCTGTGCCAGACATTGTCCTAAGTGCTGTACATGAACTGACTCCTCGAATCATCACAACATCATATGGTATTGTCAAGCTATGAACAAAGCCCCATGTTATGTTCAGATTTAGAAACTGCCAGTACTTTAATTTCCTTATTATTTTAAATATGATCATTTTTTGTAAAAATAAAATAATAATAATTAATTAATTTTTGCAGGAGGGAGCTCAATAATCTTTATTATTATTTTTAAACACAAAAGTTTTCTCAATTAATGATGTCTTTTTGGACAATAAAAAAGAAAAGAAAAAAGAAACATCACTTACACCTTAAATTAAGTAATTGTCATTTATTTTATGAGTTAGAAAAATTCAACCACAGAGTCCCACTTCTTTATAGTGAAAGAAAGAAATCACAGAGGAAACCTGTTGTGAGTCACACAGAACAATTAAAATGATTCTTTGTTAGGGCTGTGCTTTGTGGGGAGGTTTCTTTTGCTTAAATTTTGATTGATTGAATTTTGTTTCCTTACCTTCTCAAAATAAGGCCTTTTATAACAACTGTATATGTCAATAAAATATCTGTACTTTCCA